TACCAAGTACTCACCATATTTAGCAATTTCACATTAGTTTTGCCTGAAGCCCAAATATAGCCTTCATGACAACCAAAAAAACAGTTCTTGTTTTACATAGGTAGTGATGACACTGAGACACCACAAAGAGAAGAATATAGCATATAACAAAGAAACACCACCACCCTAACCATCTGCCCTTTTTCCGAATTGTCACATTGACATTAAAGTGCACATAGCAACACAATCGGTCACCCAAACCAAAACTGCCCCCTTTCTAAATGGAAAGTACAAATGAGAGAGAAAAGCTGGAAACAAAATAATTAACATACCCCTGTCACAGTTAACACCTATGAAACCCACGAATTATCTCCTGTGGGAAAACTACCCATTTGCATATGCCGCATATACACACACACATGCCAACTGAAACTGCACAAACAAAATCCTGACAAAGGATTCTCAGTAAATGCCTCTGCAGCCTCACCAACAGATTTACACAAATTATTTCCACCATTACTTTTGGAAGAGTGCCTGGTCCATGAATCATAAATTCAATCAACCAAGAACAGAGTTTGCTCACACTGTCCAAGACATTCCAGAAGTACATAACTCAGCATCAGACATACTTAGAGGTCTGTTTTTCATCTAAACATATATAGGCTTACCACTCTTAAGTATTTGTTGATCCCTAACTAAAAGCATAATATACTCTTTAACTGCTAAAACTACAATATCTCACCCTGATTTCATAAAATAGAAGGGTGTCGATGCATCATTCCAAGAGTTGTCCTTTAAATGCAAAACCAAAAATAAATATGTTTCCTGTGTGTTATTAACTTTAAAAGGGCAGCAATACCTCTTTCACGAGAACTATAGTTTAAATCTATTGAGAACAAAGAGAAATATGCACACAACAATAGCTAATAATAGATATCCACACTCCCCGAAAGTAAAGCAGTGAGAAACAGTGTCATTCTCTCATACCTCTGAAAGTACAATTACTGTCATCCAGTCCAAGTTTAGAAGAGAAAAACAACGAAGCAGCACAAAATGTCAGAAAATATTATCTTAAGATGGATTAATTAATCTGTTTTCACTCAAGAAGCCAATGAACTTTCCACTCATTGACCAAATTTTGTTCCATTGCAGATACTTTGAGGTATTAATATGCAGTACAATGACTTGCTATCTGATCAAACTTTAAACGATTAATCCAGTGGATGGTCACTTATGCTAGTGTGCTAAAAAGGATAGTGGTCCAAACACAAACTATGCAGTCTAAATAAGAATTTGACAGCCAAAAAGCCAAACAATATAAATCTAAAGAATACCTGCTTTCTTTTTCCCGCTCCCTTAAATCCTTCTCCTTATCTCTTTCTTTATGCTCCACATCCCGGCTCCTCTCTCTTTCATCCCGATCACTTCGATGCCTTTCTGAATGACTCCTACTTCGGCGTGATCGCTCTTTCTCCTTCTCCCGGTCCTTGTCCTCCTTGTCACCCTCACGGTCACGTTCTCTCCTGTCTCTAGCTCGATCGGGATCCCGCTCTTTGTCTCTGTCCCTGTCTCTCTCCCTTCCATTTCTTTCCTCCCTTTCCCTCTCCTCCCTACCTCTGTGTTCCCGGCTACTCCTGTGGCGATCCTTTTCTACTTCTCTTGACCGTGAGCGATGACGAGAAGATCCCCTCTCTCTGTGCCGATCATGATCATGTTCACGTGAGTCATCTCCAGATTTTGAACGCTTTGAGTGACGTTCCTCATCATGACCTTTCTCATCACTCTTATGTTTTGAACTTCGACTGCGACCTTTCTCTCCAGATTTCAGAGTTTCCTCACCACCATTTGCAGTTTCCTTTGCTTTCTGGGGTTCCGGATTTTCAACCGTTTTCTCTAAATACTCATACTCGTCGAAATCCATTAAACCTTTCTTCTAATCAAACAACGCAGCAAAAAACAACCTCACAGATAGACCTTAATGCTTCTGATATCTGCAACCATTTGCCCAAAAAATAAATAAACAGAGCAATGAGTTTATAAGTACTAAGCCTGCATTTTGCAGAAAGTAAACCAAATTCAAAGCGAGAAAAATAATAATAACATTTCAAACTCTAGAGCTTTTGTATTTTCTTACTATAGTATCCACAAACACCTAGGCCAAGGCTTCTAAATGTAGGTGATACAAACCCAAAAAACAAGATTAAAAACCTAAATCTCCCATAAACTGAGTTCTCTTAAACTATAATTCATCTAAATACCAGATTTATTTTACCTCCAACAACTCAGTAACCAAAAGCATTATTTTACCTCAGTTCAAATGCATTACCAATCCCGAAACCCTATAACCAGAGTGAAAAGGACACAAATCAACTAAACCCAAGACCTAGTTCGTAAAATACAGTCAAATCAGCTGCTTTTTACAGTTCGCAAAACAGCAGGAAACCTAAAAGAGCAGTCCAAATTTTCCTTGTATTATCTCCCAACCCAAAATTCATTAACAACCAAACAAGGTTTTAGGTTTTTGTGCGAGCTTGAAATCTTTACCTCCAGTGAGCTACGAGTAGAAACAAGAAGAAGAATAAGAACGAGAACGACGGGCAAGAAGAACCAGTTGAATTGCAGACGTAGACAAAGAAGAGCTGAATATGCGTTTGAAGTCCGAGCTTGAAATTGAGAGCGCTGACAGTTGGAGATTAATGGTGGTGTTGCACTCTCTGTTTGTGTCTCGGGCTCGCGCTAGGGCTTAAGTGAGTGCACTGTGCGGGCTGACCACTTGGGCGGCACGTCATATATATGACCCGGCCCGAGTGGGTTGGCCTGTTTTAACCGGGTCCGGAGCTTTGAATTGGGTGAGTAACACAACATGGATTTGGATCCACTATGTAAAAAAGCATAAGGGTCCGTTGGTCCTCCAATTTTCTTGATCCCATTTTCAATTCTTTGGGGTTTTTTTTATGAGACTATAATTTTAATACAAATTTATAAATAAACTCAATCCTAGACATGTATTTATAAAAAAATCTAAGCACTATTTAAACATAGAAACACACTCAAAATCAACCACAAAGTCAACTTTTTGGGTGTGTTTATAAATGGGTTTTGAGTGTGTGTAATGATTAGTTTTAGGTGTGTTTATATGTTTAAATAGTGCTTGAATTTTTTTATAATTTCAACCCCCATTTTGGGTGTTTTAGTGAAACTCCCTAATTTTAAATGCAGTACCCCAACCAATCCCCAATATAAGGTTTTTTAGGTTTTAGACATAAATTTTTTTTCACTTTTGGAAAAAGCCATAGCTTTTTCAAAAAAGACAAAAAAACTACTCAACTTTCAAATCAAAGACATGCAAATGTATTGGATTCCTTAGGAAATCTAAAAATAAATAAGGGCATTTTTGTCTATTTTTGCTTCTTTTAAAATTTTTCTCTCTCCTTTTGCTTTTTTCAAAATGTCCCAACTATATAACATGTCTAGAGGAGTAATTGAGGCCTATGTGGGCGCCTAGGCGTTTCTTGATAATAAAAAATATTATTTTGTATTATAAATTTGTACCAAAATTAATATTAACGAATGCATATGTGAGTCATATGATATATACTTTGATATAAATCAGAGGATTGACATAAAAACACAATTAGGTTATGTTTTAGCATATGGGCTAATATAATTAGGTTATGTTTTAGTAAATGGGCCCAAGCCCATAAGTGAAACACATCGTTTCACTAGCCCTATCTTCACCTTTTTCTTGGACGAACCGTATCCTCACTTATCTCTTAGCTCTCCTCCTCCATCACCTCCCATCTCTCTCTAACTCCATTGTCTCTCCTCTCTCACTAGTAGAGAAGCAACCACCCGACCTGCCTAGGCACGGCCTAATGATTAGGGTGAAATTGCGGTGGTGTCCTCCCGCCTAGCACCTAGGCGGCGCTTAGGTTGATTTTTCGAACACTGGCCATCTCTAAAGCTTACAGAAAAAATAAACGTGCAATCTTTAGAATGTTGTTTACAGACCGACAGGATACCAAAACCATAGCAAAATATGCTTACTAAGCGAAGTAAATAAAAATTCTAGACAGATGAACATTCGTTTTACCCCTTCAATCCAAGGCAGAAAAACTTGAATTTGAAGGAGAAATCAATTCTATGGTCATCTCAAAATAATTGGTGAACACAATGACTAATTATCGCAAGCACCATACAGTAAGATATTTCTGAAAAATCATCATAACATATTAAATATTATTTCAGCATCCTTAGTTCGGCTTAAATGTCCTGTTTGGGCTCTCACCAGAGCTTTCTCTACTGAAGATCCCGAATCCGCCAACCTTATCAATGCCTGCGCCTGGTCTTTGGCTACTATCGGGTCTTGAACTGGGTGAGTTTGAATTTGCTGGGACCCTCTCCGTTACACCATATCTAGGAGGAGCATTACCTTTTTGATTGCTAAAGATCCCATAACCAGGTCCCGTAGTACGGGGAGCGCTAGGACTCGATGGTTCTTGCTTGGGGATATCATTAGGAGGAGGCGTCGAGTTTCTAAATACAGGTGCATTGGTCTGAGCTTGCCTCGGTTCTCTCATTTCAGGGCGCCTATTATCCATTCCTCTTGGTGGAAAAGGATTCCTTGGATCGTTTCTGTACCTATTTTGAGTCCCGTCATAAGATTCTCGCGGGGGCAGTGGAACTGTGTGTGCTCTGGTAGGTGTGGCATGCAATAAGCCTGAATCACTAATATCTGACTGCGATGAAGCTTTTTGAGACACCGTATTTATCCGAATATCACGCTGTGAAGTAGTAGCATTTGCATCATCACTACCCTTCATTTGAACATCAGTGGTAGTTTCTTCTTCAGTCTTCGTTTTCTTTCCAGCCCCCTTTGATGGGCCAAACTTCCTATGCCTGACGATTATATATGCCTCTTTTCCTTTTCCCCGCGTCGGCTCCCACTCAATGAGAGCTACATCTTCTATCTGCAAATGGTCGCTACAGTTAAGAGTGGGAGGAAAAAAGGAAGACAAACAGTAATGAATACAAAACAATGACAAAAGAGTATCTGACGATACCAACACAGTGAGAGGAGCAAACAATGCTTCCAAGTTCTTATCCTCAGCATCCGTGGCAGTACACTGTTTCAGATACGTAGAACACAATTAGGTAAATATTAGTTAATTCTGATTACTTTAATTGAAGGATTTTGTGGATAGATCCATGAAACAGACGTATTTGGAAATACAACACTACTTATCCCATGAATCTACAAGGCGTTTGTCAAGCATACATATGAACAAGATGGGCTAATAAATAAATTAGTGAGGAATACGGTACTATGTTCTAGGATGGCTTATGATCTAGCTTTTGGCATTCCTTTCAGAGGGCAAAATTGATCTCAAAGTTCGTATAAACTCTTCCAAAAGTTTGTTGTGTTAAAATAACGTCTAAAGTTTAAGCTAAACAAACCCCATCCGGCATTCATAGTTCACTATCAACAGAATTCGTGAATGAACAAGCTAAGTAATTCTCTATTTTCACAACACAATTTGAGGATAACCTGAATAGAAGCCAGTAGCTACCATAGCAAATATGAATTCCATGAAAATATTGCAACATTTATCTCTCCCAATGCTAAAAGCTCACTTGAACTCCTGCACTAAAGAGAGTGGTACATACAGAATCATCATCCAATGCAGAAAGTTCCTAGAAACTAGCCAACCCACTCCAACCATCTCCCCCTCCCTTGGCCCAAAATACAGATTTGAAAACAAAAGCAACGTTGGCCACAGATAACTGGGCAGTCCTTTCCCCAAAACTATACAAGTGTGTTTCTTTTTAACCGTAAACCTCGAGACTATACAATCATTTGAATCATAGCATTGAGAAATTTATGCAAATTCAGTTTCACATCAATCCTATCTTGACGTTAGGCAGCACGGACAGATTGCATATGCTGCAGACAAGTCCATAGGGGCAGGCAAAATTTTAAGAAGATTGCAAGTTCAAGTTCTAAAGGTTAGAGAAAGTTGAGGTTTGATGCAGAGGTTTCAGGAAATTTAGAATAATAGTGAAGGAGATAGCGTGAATGACCATCTTGAGTATTTTTTGGTTGATCAAATGAAGGGTGTGAGATTCTTAATAGAATTGTCAAATAGAAATTTTCTGATGCAAAAGGTAACAGTAGCAATTTGTAGTGTTCACAAGGAGTGCATGCAGTCTAAGAAAAAGACAGTAAGAAACAAAAGAAAGCTGCAGCGAAGACTAGGGAGAAAGAGAGGAGCAAGCTGTGACTATCTATGCCTTTACCAGGGAAACACTAATAATTTCATGACAGCATGTACTAACAATAACAATTATGGATCCGTTGATTATTACAACTATTTAATCGAATGGAATAAGTACCTTCACTCGGTAACCTTTCTCCATAAATCTCTTCGCCATATCTGCTTTCATCCTTAGGTCCTTTGCGTCCTGTACTCAGAAGCGGTATGTATGTTGTAACATCACCCCAAAATGCTTTAAATCATAAAATTACTAGATTGATACTCGAAATATAATCAGCATATTCATCCAGAAATGAAAACGAAAATAGAATGAGAAAACCCAGAAATAGTCCAGCCAGCAAGATGACTGGCATACCCAATATTACATATCCCAGGTGCAATGAACACCATGATATATAAAGCATGAAAAAACCATTTACTTAGTTGTTGTTTAAAGTTACCTATAAATACAGAAGATACTATGAAAAATTCTCCAAGCAACCCATACAGTTAGGTTAGTGAGTTGACCAATGACACCCAACATTCCAGATGCTCAACGCTGGATGGAATTCCCGCGCGGGTGGGGAACTATTGCTCTACTATAAATCACCTTTCGTAGATACATACAAAAAATTACACAATTACACATGGAGAAGGAGGGGTGGGAAAGAGAAACCGAGCGAACAGATTAAAGGGAGATAAAATTTGAAATTCTCAGGAAACCCAGAATGGCACCACAAATAAATTCACATAGCAATCCATTGCAACATGATAATCTGAGGAAGAAAACAAAATAATATTTAACCATGTTATCATTTAGTTCTTTGAGTCCTTGACTAGTTTTCAATTCATAATCTTTGCGGTTATTGATGAGAATTCCCTTCTTTACAAAATATTTTCAATTTTCCCTTAATCTGAATAATGACATTGGCTTGAAGATGTATAAATGGATGGTGGAATGAAATGAAGAACAGTGCACTAAAGATATAACTTACAGTTTTTGGAGAGAATTTAACTTCCTTAGACTCTGATCGCAAGGTCTTGTCAGACTGCATGGATTAAAAATCTGATTAAAACATTATCAGCACATTCTTTTTTCTATTTTTTTTTTCAAAGAACTCTACCAAGACATCACAGGAAGGCTGAGGAAGACTAAAAACAAAAACGGGGGGGGGGAAGGAATTGACTACCATGGACCATATATAGTTTACTTATATTACATCAATAGGTTTTCAATAGGAACAACTTAAAACTACGGTCCTATACTTACATCTATTAAATACGAGGTCTAATGCTCATTTAACTCTACAGAAAGTAAAGATTGGAATTATCATGCCCATGTTATCAATCTGATGCCTGTTTTTTTAGCATCATCATGACCATTATAAGATTAGTGAAGCAAATTGTAAATTATTGAAAATATGGGATATTTTGCTCTCCCCCAAACCCAACTGACTTATAGGCAATAGGGATAAAAATAAGAAAGCAATGC